CCGGGGACTTTGACCTTTCTCTCGCTTGGACTTGAGGCAGGAAAAGAGAAGAAGAAGACCGTCGTTGATCTCCGATGGCGATAAGAGAAATCGTTACAGTTCCGCAGATTTTTGCGGTGGTGTTGTTATTGTTGACGGTTAATTACGGCGAAGCTATATGGTTGACGATTCCGCCGTCGGGAGGAACGAAGTGTGTCTCCGAGGAGATACAGAGCAACGTTGTTGTATTGGCTGATTACTATGTTGTCGATGAGCATAATCCTGAGAACACACCGGCTGTTTCTTCTAAGGTATGGTTCCGATTGTGCTCGAATCGCTGCGAAAATTGAGTAATTTTGAGGGAGATTAGTTGATTCGATTTTGCAGGGTTTTTGCTTTTCGATTTTAGGTCTCTGTTAGTGTTGCGTTAGGGTTTTGATGGTTTGGGTGTATCGAATCAAACTTCTGTGTGATTCGATTGTAAATTTCTGTTGGTGACTTGGTACGGATTTTGGATGTCTTACTCATTGATGTGTGTTGTTGAGAGATCAATCATATGTTGAAGAATAAGCAGTGAATTTTGGTTTGATGCTTTACACATATCTCCCCATTAAGAAATGATGGAAGATTGCATGAAATTGATGGGTTTAAATCGAAATTTGGATGCTTTACACATATCTCACACCAATGTTCGAGTTCTTAAAGTTCTAAGGATGAAAATTTGGTTTGCATGTTAATGTGGATCATGTATCATTAGTAGGGAAGACTTTTGGTGTCTTGAATTTTGTTTTTTCTCTGATTGCTTTGTATAGGTTACATCTCCTTATGGGAACAATCTTCATCACCAAGATAATGTAACACATGGCCAGTTTGCGTTCACAACTCAAGAAACCGGGAACTACTTGGCTTGTTTCTGGATTGATGCCAGTCACCCGCAGCCCAATCCTATAACCCTTGGGATTGATTGGAAGATGGGTATCGCAGCCAAAGATTGGGACTCTGTTGCTAAAAAAGAAAAGATCGAGGCAAGTTAAAACTCGTC